CCCAGCCAGACTCAGTAGTCCTCGAAGACATGGGCATGCTCGAAGGCCGTGTCACTCCGCCATGGTAGTTGGAGTTCCGTGCTGCCTCCAATTCGCTGCGTGTCCTCGCTTGAAGATCTTCTTGTGCTTTGAGCGTTTTCCTGAGTTCGCTCAGCTCGTCGTGCAAGGTGGGCAATGCGCGCCTTGCATGATCCTCATTCTGATGAAGTCGGTCCTCTGCATCTTGCATCCTCCTCACAGCCATTTTGCGGTACTCTTCCTCCTCACCAAACGTTCGCGAAGCCGAAGTCGTTCTTGATCAATGGCTGCGCTGTTTCCAGCTAGCCCTTGAATCTCGTTTACGGCCCGCAACTCCTGATTCCTGACCAGGTGGAATCGTTCCTGCATCGCTTGTAAGGCTTGTTCTGAACTTGCTGTGTTCGACCGGAGGAACAAGTTCTCTCTGGCTTGTTCATGAAGTTCATGAGTCAGATGCTCATACTCACGTGCCATAAGCTCACCATCGCCTTGCGCTCTTGCCTCCAACTGCACAAAGTTAGTGGCTGCTTCCGTGCGGAACACATGTAGCTGCTGAGCCAATTCCTCGGCAACGGCGTGTGCTTGACGTTGTTGAGCAGAGTTCTGTTCATCCATGCGAAACAAAGCTGTTTCATAGTCTCGCTTCATCTCCTGATTGACATTGTTGATGTGCCTCATGGCTAAGCATGCATGGTCACGTTGTCGTTCCAATTCTTCGATGCGAATCCCAGATCCTTCATCTTCTTGCTGCATCTCCTTGATCTTCTCCATCAGGGTCTGGACAACACCTTCGTACTCCTGCACCTGACTTCGATAGTACATCTGCTGTGCAAGATTCGATGCTTCAAATTGTTGCGGAATTGTCAATCCCTGGTAGGCATTCGGACCATCGGCTATGGCTGGTGTAGTCACTGACGAAGCGTCACCCCGTGCAGGGATTGTGTCCAGAGTCATATCCAGATCGTCATCTTCGCGTGGTTGATTGGTAACCATTCGATTCCACGTCATGGACTTGTCACGTCCACGAGTGGCCGAAGTCCTTGATCGTGCTGAAGAGCTTCTTGAAGATGATGGTCGCGGCTTCTTTTCCAAAGTCTTCACTCCCTTGTCCTTTGCCCTCGACGGGGACCGAGGTGCCTGAAAACCAGACGCTTCGGATCGTCGTTCTGGAGCCTTGCTCGTCCTCGAACCTGTGGATGTTGGACGCGAAGGCGTGGATGCTCTTGGTAGACTCTTTGCTTTCGCTTTGGGAACTGCCTTTGCAATGGCAAGCGCAGAAGATTGACCTTTGTCATCTTCCGTGGAGCTATCAACGGATTGCACCACTGTGTCATCAGCTGTTGACTCACCAACGGCTGGCGCTGCCACATCGGCACCGAAAGTCATTGTCGTATCTTGGCTTGATCCCGAGTTCATTGTGGTCGTAGTAGATCAAGTAGTCTTTGCTGCAGAAAGGCAGAGCCGCGTACGGCTGATAACCTGCGTGGGGATTTGATCCTGGTAATGTTCTGTATCGCTCACCCCACAAAGAGCTGTATTGACTGTTGGCGTGGTTGCCTTCTACAAGCTGGATCACCGTTACTTCCACTTCCACACACGCACTCCTATGCAGGCAGATCCAACGTTCGCTCGTTTTGCACACTCACGGCCGGCGGTGGATCGTCTGTGCACGGGATAGCTCTGTCTACTCGGAGGATCACAAAGATTATAGCACTTTAGCTATGGGCAATGCTTTCTAGAGCTTGTGCTCATTCTTGAGCCAAACGTTGCATGGGCGGTCATACTGAAAGGATGGATAGGCATTGCGGTGTGCGTAGCACTACCACAAGCCTACTCCCAGAGACGAGGGACGCGTGGCGTGCCCCCTTCCCTTGCACTTTACACGGTCTTGCTCACAGCTCTTATAGTGACACCTTAGAACTTGACAAGGCATCGCAGTCCGTTCGCAGTGTCAGTACCAGTACTAGTACCAGTACCAGTGAGAGCACCGGGTAAATCCCGGAATCGTCCCCTGACGTGCACCGCCATGCGAACAAAGTCATGTGACAGCCGACCTCCGGGAAGACTTTCGGGAATTCCCTGAATTCCCTTGGATGTACCCTGTCTCGCGATAGCTGTGGTGTAAGTTCAATTCCCGGAACCGTCCCTCGACGTGCCCCTCCACTGTAGAAAACCCAAGCGAAAGTCGACCTCCCGGAAGCCTTTCGGGAATTAGTGGCTTTTTCTACTTTGGCTGCAAAACTAGCACTAGCAGTACCAGTCTCGTGGTAGTAGCATAGTAGCCGTAGTAATAGTAGAGGTTGTTATTGGAGGATTAACAGTAATAGTACCCAACTAGTACAAGTACCAGTACTAATACTAGTACTGGTATTAGTGTCAGTACCAGTACTAGTACCAGTACCAGTGAGAGCACCGGGTAAATCCCGGAATCGTCCCCTGACGTGCACCGCCATGCGAACAAAGTCATGTGACAGCCGACCTCCGGGAAGACTTTCGGGAATTCCCTGAATTCCCTTGGATGTACCCTGTCTCGCGATAGCTGTGGTGTAAGTTCAATTCCCGGAACCGTCCCTCGACGTGCCCCTCCACTGTAGAAAACCCAAGCGAAAGTCGACCTCACGGAAGCCTTTCGGGAATTACTGGCTTTTTCTACTTTTGCTACAGAACTAGTGGTAGTAATAATAATCCGGTGGCATTAGTAATAGTTGTCGTCGCAGTAGTGGTAGTAGCAATACTACTACTACTACTACTACTACTACTACTACTACTACTACTACTACTACTCCTACTCCTACTCCTACTCCTACTCCTACTCCTACTCCTACTCCTACGCCTACGCCTACTCCTACTCCTACTGCGACTGCGACTGCGACTGCGACTGCGACTGCGACTGCGACTACGACTACGACTACGACTACGACTACGACTGCTACTACTACTGCTACTACTACTGCTACTACTACTGTGTCTACTGCTGCTACAGCAATTATGCCAGTACTAGTATTAATTCTGGTAGTAGTAGTTGTAGAAGTACTAGTAGCAGTAGCATTAGTAGCATTAGTAGGGATACTACCATTAGTAGCATTGATACCATTAGTAGCATTATAGCCGTAGTAGTAGTAGTAGCCGTAGTAGTAGTAGTAGTAGTAGTAGAACAACAACAACGATACTGACCCTGCTTATGCCTCCCTGCCGAGCCACCGCTGATCGATGCTGTACGAGGTTTTAAGCTGGGCCTGTGTTTGCCCCGATGTGTGTCGCACAATCACAGATCCATCATGTCGAGCCCTTTAGGTAACCCTTTGGTCCCGACACACATGACCGTCGCAAGGCAAAATGCCTGCGCAGGAAAACCAAGGACAGCAAAAAAGCCACAGAACATGCATTGCCCCTCCGACCACTTCTCCCTGCTTGCTGCAGGATCCTCCCTCGTAGTTTATCTACCATCAAGATATGCTAGGAACATGGCAACTAATATTCCCGGAAACCTTCCCTTACGTCGTTTCCGGGATTTTCAAGATAGCTCCCAGACCCCATCCGACCAAGACTTAATTCCCGGAAATATAATTCCCGGAATACCCGTACGTCCCCATCTGCCGGGATTTAATAGTGGAGGGTGATCTCCAACGGACATCCTCGAGAAAGTGCCAGACTGGTTTCGGCCGGGCGCACTGAGCCCTGCTCTTGCACGCATAGCTGTGATTGTCTTAAATCACATCATTTGCATTTTGGGTGTGACTCGTAGAATTGCGACTGCGGACTCTTCCATATTGTCACATCTGCTGCCTTTGCAGCCGCTACGCTGTCTACTTTCTCATCGTCGGGCTTCCGATTCAAGTAACGAGGAACGACATACCACAGGTCCAGCATGACTCTTCAATGCCAGGATCGTAGTCACACCGCCATGCAAAGGATATCTCATCGGCACGGAAGTCCATTCAAGTGGCTCGCATGGCTGTGCTACTCCTAGTGTTGTGACCAACGCTGCAAGGATCACCAGCAGCACTACTGCCAACACTACATTCGAGCTACATTCACTACTCATTGAAACGATTCTGCGACCATGATCAATGACAATAGCTGTAACAAGAACACCTAGGTACAGAAGACTAAGACTAAAGCAGCACTGATGCTAACTCCAATATAAATACCTACAAAGACGACTATGCCAATGCTGATGCTCCCATTTTCACGAGCACGACCACGGCCACGACCACTGCTTTTCTGCCCCACCACCACGACGGCTACTGCTCCTGCTCCTGCTACTAGCACTGCTACGACTCCTACGACTGCTGCAAGCCGCTGGCACTGCCTCTGCTGTTAGCATCACCACTACGACATTCACAGCGGTTGTAGATACTACAACTACCTTGTTGTTCCGATGATGACTAGTCTTGCTGTTGGCATCAACACGGCTAAAGCTCATAACACAAAAAAACTTTGATAACAAAACAAACTGTTTGCAGTTGATGTTGCACAACGTTGCCACTGCTGATATTGTTATTGGTATTGCCACTAGTAGCAGTTACGGTTGCTGTCATCGCTGTTGTGAACATGGTTCACGGTTCTCGTCATCGTGCTGCAGCTAGACAAACAAGTGTATGCAAATTGCAATGCTTGTCATATGTACTGTAGTGAGTATGGTGGGTCGCTACTGGAAGTGCAGCTATTGCAACTACTGTTCTCAGCAGAGCGGCTTCGACTATGACCCTGATGACAGCCATGCTTCAAGCATGCTGCTATTGTGTTTGTGCCCTTCACGGCGTTCGTTGTCATATCATCACCATCATCATCGTCAACAACATCATCACCACAACCCCCACCACCAAGTCTCGCCTTCACCCCAACCTGATCCAGCCCATGACTGCGTTCAATGTAATGACACACGGCATCCATCGAACTCGAAGCCTAAACCTCCATCACACAGAAACCTCGGTTCAAGCCGGCAGAAAAATAACCCCTTCCTCGACCTGCCAGGGTGCGATGTCTGAAGCGTTGGTTTCCGCACCTGGGTGGCCCCTCTAGGCTCAGGCTGCAGGCCTAGTGGCACAGTACGCTGAGGTTGCTGAAAGCCAGAAGGCGGGAGCAGAGATGGAGCGAAGGAGGAGCCAGGAGAGAGGCGAAGGAGAAAGAGGCGCAAGCGAAGAGGGGAGAGATGTAGAGAGCGGGCTCAAGTCCTGCTGGTGCTGCGGCTCTACGCTTTTGGTCTGAGGCCCTTGCTGTGTGCAGGCGCCCCACTCGGACCACGCCTGTGGCGTGAACATGCTCCGCCTGCCGCCTTCTGGAGGGAAAGCCTGACTCGATTGAAACAACCCTGCGCAGGCCTCCCAGAGGCAGTCGATACAGACTTCGTGGCCGCACCTCAGAGAGCTCTTTGGGGAGGGTCGCTGTGGGCTTTCGCAAGTTTGCTGCAAGCTGCAGTCTGGGGCCCTGGGGTGTTGCGATGGAGAGTGGCAGGTAACTGCCCATTTTCAAGCAATCACCATGGAAACGGGAAGTCGACGATGTTGCCGTAGCAACCGCAGGAGCAATAGATTCGCATCCGAAAGCCATCCCACACCACACCGGAAATATTCAAGTTGAAGGACCTTGCACTCGACCTGGCCCCGACATGGCGCCGAAGTAGGCGTCAGAACTTGCAAGCAAGTTTGATCTTGCATGCCTAAAGCCGAGGTCGATGGCCTCACAAACCTCCGAAAGCTCCAGCCCGAGATGTCAGATACTGGCAAGGCACGGCTCCTCCGCGCAAGGCTCCATCATGGCCAGGGAGTCGTTGCAAGCCCTTGGCTTCTGGTGGCTGTTCAAACTGCATGAAAGGCTCAATTCCCTACACTCCTCCTGCGAGCGACACGCGAACCAGGAGATGGCAAACTTGCTTTGGTTCTTGGTTCTTCCCCAACATGATCCGCTGGTTCTGTGTCGTTGCAAAGAGCCATGGTTGACGGAAAAGCATTGCAGAAGCTCGGTTCAGAATTCATAATGTGGAATCACTAAGGAAGAATGTCACTCGTCACGGATCGACGAAGCGAAAGGCAAACGCTCCGTGCCAGGAAACGGAAACCCCCGCAACGACCTCAGTCCCCTCTGGGCACCCAGACGCTCCGCCGTTGGCAGCCGGGCTCAAAATCTGGGCAGTCTGCTGCGACTCTCTCTGTTGAAATCTTGGCGAGGCTCTCTTCGCGATTGTGTAGCCTACCTCGATGCACGACACCGATGCGAGGCGATGGTTGAAGGAACTGACAGTTTGGGGAACGGCGATTGCAAGACATTAGCATTAGCAGTGTTGCATATGATATAAGCAATGTCCGGGACACCCTGGTAGAACAGAAGGAGTCGCGGACTCGTCGTTCTTATCCACAGCAGTCTGGACTCATTCAGTCATGTGCGTCTCCTTGCCGCAGGTCAACTCCAGACATCGGTAGTGAGTAAAGGACTTCGACATCTTGAAGTTCTGGCTGGCCCCCGTTTCGCATATCGCCCGGCCGCCACACTCAGGACACGGGCGCTCGACACCCGCCTGCTGCGGTGCTGCTTCCGCGAGGCTCTCTCGCTGCCACTCGGCGCGCTTGGCCTTCAGCTGCTCGTCGGCCCAACTTCGCGGGTCCTCCAAGGCCAAAGTCTTCGCAAGCGCTGCCGCACCCGCTTCTTGTGCCCGCTGCCGCACGGCCGAGCGGAAGCCGGCATTGGAGCGCAACGCCGCCAAGAGCGCCCGCAGTCGCTGCGCAGATTCGGGGGTGAGCCCCCAACTGCGCACAAAGGCCGCCCCGAGCTCCTCGGCCAGACGCCTGCTCTCGGCCTCGTCAGTCGAGCCACCGGGACCCGCTCGCAGCGCTACGCTCAGGTGAGCCACAGCTTTCTTCTCGAAGGAATCCTCTTGACCAGAGCCAGAGCCAGAAGGGTCAGAGGGGCGTTCGGAAACCTCCAGAGGTGCGTTCGGCTTCTGCCTGGACGCGGTTGTGGGCTCCGAGATCTCGGCACTTTGATCGGGATCGGGCGCCGCGCGTTTGGTGCCCCGAAGATGCGCAAGGTCGGAGGGGTCCGCACGTTGAACATCTTGGCCGTGGTCGTGGATCATAATGTCCGGCAGCTGAAGGCACTCCGCTGGGCTCAGGGCTAAACGATCCTTCGGCCATAAGAGTACCATGGTGAAACGAGAGTGTATGGCACAAACGCTTACGAGGGCTACGCGATGGCGTGGCGCAACTATGAAATCCAAGGCTTCTCGTCTCGGCTGACGAGGTGAATACGAGGCGAATGACTGGGCTGACAGCAGCTAGCGATCGCTCATTGACCACGAAACAGTGCTGGATTTAAAGTCACATGAGCTTCCGGCTCATCGTCATGACTAGCAGCCAAGAGAATATCGATGACATGCATCAGTACACAAGTGTCTACTGTAGGTCCCGCAGGCGAGCTGCGTGCTGCACACCAGCTTTGAGCCGCAACGCTGGCAAAGCTGGAAAGGATCTTCGACTACCCTCCGCGAACTTGGGGAATGGGAGGTGCGGTGTACAGTGCAGGATCAGTGGAATCTATTTGTCATGCTCGGCTGAACTCTCATGACAATTTCCAGCCATGCACATATAAACAGCAACAAGTGTGCGACAACTCATGCACTCCATCCAAGATGCCATCCTCAATGGAGAACTAACTCGTATTTGCCCCCTCTACCAACTTCGAAGAGCGAAATCATGGCAGAAACTCCGACCAAGCACCCGACGTGGCGGACGCGACTCCTGTGTCCGCCACCACACGTTCGGGAACATTCCGTCCTGACCGAAGGTTTGGCCAAGGCTGCCTGCTCCAAGTTACAAAGTTCAGGGTTTCTCCCCCAATTTTGGGGAGCTCCATAAACTCCACTTGCGGACAGGTGGACAGGATGGTAAGCTCACGCCCAAACCGCGGGACCGGTCTGGGTCGAGCCAAGCAGCCCCAGTCCCTGATCGTTGGTGAAGCCCCTCAAGCTAGGCAGCTAGGGGGCATCCGGGGGCTCTTGGATTTCCCAGCTCCTCACTTGAGGAGGGCCATGAGAAGTTATCCCCATGCTTCTGGGCTCCCCGACCACTGCTCCCAGCTGGCAATGACGCAGGTCTTCGGATCTTCCGGCTTGCAACTGGCGGAAGGGCAAGCATGGGATCTGGGAATTACGGTTCTTCAGGTCCTCTGCCTTCAAACATGCAGAAAGACGAGAGAGAGAGAGAGAGAGAGAGGACATGCAGAAGTGCCGACCTCTAGCCCTGAACCTCATACCGAACCTCGTACCCTCACCCTGTAGCCCTGAGAAGCCCTGGCTTCAGCGAAGAAACCTCAGGCCCCAACAAGCTCTGAAAGCCCTGGCAACTCCTCAGAGAAGACAAAAGGAGGTGTGAAAAGACCCTTTTAACACAGAGAAGTCTCTCGCCATAAAGTGACAAAGACGACGGCCGCACGTGTAGGGCGGATCTTGGCCAACTCCAGGGTTACACGCTCGGACCTCCGGCGAAGGCCGGGCTACGGTAGGCCGTCGTCACGTGGAGTCGTGCTCTCTTTCGGGTGCCTAGGGCCTGCCGGGCCTGCCGGGCCTGCAGGGCCTGCAGGGCCTATTCCTGTGCTGGTTACCCGAAAATAGAGAGCTGCCCATCTCAACGTCAACATCTACAACAGATCCAGGCTCATCTCTAGTGAACTCGAGTGCTTTGTCTGCTTATCTCCTATCCACGCATGCATGCCTGCTTACATGCAGACGTACCACGTATGAGTATGTCGTTTATGCATGCAAAGACACAATACGCAGACAGGCAGGCAGGCCTGCAGGATGCAGCACTGGGGACTTGGGACAGTGCAGCTGCATGTCGGGGGGACCCTGTTTCGGCTGCGAGGGCAACGGCTCTGATCCCGAGTGATGTCCAAGCTCAAGAAACAGCCGGCCTCTTTCAGCGATGTCGTGAGGCAGCTGTCGCCCGAGCCTCGGGCGAACTGCGCGACCTCAGAACTTGGCATTCGGATGGCTTGCCCTAACATGGTTGGGTTAGGTGGTGGGGGATGCAGCCAGGGTGCATTACAACAGAGACAAAACTTCGTGCCAGCATGGTCGAGCGCGACAGTTATGGTAGTGGCAAGAGGTAAGATGCCCCACCGTTTCGGAAGATGGTCTGGCCTGCACATGCATTGCTGCCTTGGCGCGGCGCCGAGCGACTCGAAGAGGTCTCACAAGACTCTCGGTGTCTGTCCAAAATGAGCCGAAACCCACAATACCGAAGCCAAGCACCCTCTTCAACTGGAAACAAGCAAACTCCCAAGCCTTAACTCCTTGCACCTCAGCCTCGGACACGCCCCGGAAACTTCACTACCTGTAAACAATGAATGAATCTCAAATGCCCGAACGGATACCAAAATGCTGAACTTTCCGCACGAGCCCTCGCTCAACACTGAACGTGAAAGCCCAAACGGCCCAAATGTCGGGGGCTTTGGCGTTGCGCTGTCGTTCTTGAACTCCGAAGCATTTGCAGCTGCAGTCTGACCTGGGGCAAGTCCGGGCGGGCACTCACTTCAAAGGGCAAAGGAGGAAGAGCACTGGAAAGCTCCAGAGCTCCATCGTCATTTTTCCAGCATCATGCGAAAGCGCATTTCTTTTGCGTAGCCGGACCTCGCGCGGGGGTGCGACCACATATCAGAGCTCTCTTCATCGGAGCTCGCCGCGCTCACCAGGACCTCGGGCGGGTAAGCTACTGCTCGTCAGCGCATTGGCAATTCTACTCCTCTCCTAGATCCTCGCCGGGAATCCAGTCGTCCAGAACGCAGTTCACTGCATCTCTCCGCTCCCGGGCCAAGCATAGCAAGTCGAACTCTCACTGGCTCAAGAAGCTGATGGCACGGGAGAACAGTGCCTGGTCGCAACATCAGCCGATATGATCACTATTGCAATGTTTGCAGTAATGATCATACTCCTGATGTTGCGACCAGCGAATCTGCAGCATCCGTGTGCAGATTGTCAGACGAGTCTCGCAGAAAGACGTGGTTGCCGGCCAGTCTCGGCGTCGTCCTTGAGGCAGATGCCGGTTGCTCGCGGACCAGACTCACGGTCAGAGCTGCGAAGTCGCTGCAGCATGGGCACAGGCTGGACCTGCTCAAGCTTTTCGAGGTGTTAGCTGCGTTCCCCTTTCCAGAAAGTGCATCCCATCTCGATCGTCGCAGGAGGACGCTGATGCCGGCAGCGCCGTTGCGGATGCGCTTTCGCGCGCGGCACTCTCCGCATCGGAGCCGAAGCCCGGCCATGCCGCGACGGAAGGGGTCGCATCCCAGCCGGTGGGAGGAGGTAGGTCCCCCCAGCCGTGGCTCTGCCGTCCCGTCCCAGCCGCTTCGTCAGAATCTCTTGAAGAAAACAAGAGCACAGTCGAATGCATATTTAATGGCTTAGCGGGCTGAGCGCATTGCTGCGACCTGTTCAAAGTGAAGCGGCACACAGTTTGCCCGCTAGAAGCCTGTCGGCTAAAGTGATGGTTTAGCAGGGTTCGGCAACTAGCGTTATCGGTACATGTATGTAACTGTATGTACGGACGTACGTATGCACATCTCGCTTGTCGTGTCTATGCGGATCTGAATTTCCAACACCCTGGGGCCAAGGCCACGTGCCCCAGCTGGAAAGCCGGCAGTCGACGTTGGGCACCTTGGTGCCAGCTATGCGAAGCTTTCGCAGGCTCGCGGCCCGCCATCTGTACGCTGTAAAGCTTCGCTGTGAGGTAGCTCTTATCCTCAGCCCTTGGGGCTGAGGCTGATGCGTCCGACGGATTAGGTTGCTTGGAAGTTGAGCTTGACCCCAAACAGAAGTCGCAGTCACATGCAAGAACAGCTAACTCCACCCAGACAAGCCAGAATTCATTGGCTGCTCTCACAAGAATCTGCTGCATGGCATGCCGAGACGACGTGATCGAAACCTTCGTGACCCAGTTTCGATAAATTCCTAGAACTCCAAACCCCAAACCCGAGACTTGGAACTGAAATCCCAGATCCACGGACCTTCCCTTTCCCGGGGAGCCGAGCACAGCTGGACATGCCTAGGGTGTCACAGAGCTGATAGTCGTCCTCGACGCCTCACAGCAGTTGGATGTGTTTCAGGGCCTGTAATCGGCATCCATCCTCCCGGTAACGATACAGTGTTTCGAGTACAAACAGATTACTGCAAGCTCTGGCTTAGTCTTCAGCTGCAAGCTGCACGTTGTGTGGCCCACAAGCGAGCTTTTTGTGCGCGCTGTGCTTTTTTTCGCGCTTGCCGCTTCACCCCCGATTGATTTTGTCTGCGTCCCCATCTTCAACCAGCACGCGCACACACACACACACACATGCACACACAGACGCACACATTGTCATTGTGGCCAGCAAACAACCAAACAAACAAACACAAAGCGCACAACCCCCCACACACCCACACACTCTCTGCAGCACACGTCGGAAACTTGTTGCGACTTTCAAGACTTGGATGGTGCAACCTTGCAGCATGCCCTCGCATGAAAACCAGCGAGGGAAGAATGAGCCACGAGTGCTTTCACCCTTCCTAGACTTGTTGTGAACCCCAAAGCTCAGAGCCACACGTGCATGCAGCTACTCAATATTCAATTACCCCTGACCTGTTGGGATGCTGTGAGCAACTAGAGCAACTGGAGCACTGCGCAGGTCCGAGATCTGCTCCCAAGGGAGGTCATGTCTATCAAAAGACGGCTCGCCTGTGGCGGGCTTACCGCAGCTGTTGGGGTGCTGCTCGACGTTGCGGTGCCGCACCCTTGCAGAAGGGTGCTAAGTGCAACCCCAAGCTCTCAATCCGGGAGGATTATATGCAAAGCCCCATATCGTCTCGGCTTTTTTCTGTTCCTTTATTCAAGGAAATCTTGGGAGCATCAACCCAAAAAGCTCCATGAAAGGTTCCGCCTGTAGGCTGGAAGACAGTGACTGGAACACTGGCCCCATTGACCTCAGGCGGAGAGCTGAAGCGACCGCAAGCATAAGTACTTGAACGGGTCTTCTCATTGTGCTGTTCTGCCGTCTATGTAATCTGCCGACGCAGCGGCCCCACATGCTCCACTGGCCATCGATGCACTCGTCACAGCTCTGCGTGTTGCAGGGCGAGACCTGTTCTCGGCTTTTGCTTTGCCATGGTCACATGTGACATGAGTCTACCGCATCTTCCGATGCGAGATGGTGGCGACGTAGGTCGACGATTCCCAATCAGCCGTATCTCTTCTAGGGGCTCGCAGGGGGGTCTCGCAACTGAAACTTCGCAACATGCATAGATCTTCCATTGCGACGACGTCTTCAACGACAAAAGGTGCAACCCGCACAGTTTTCAATCCCCAGAAACCTGCGACAGAGACACAAGTCTTGTTACCCGTACGCAAGCTTCAAAGCCAAAATGACGAGATGTTTCTCAGGTGCCTCGTACTTGTCGTGGGCCGCACAGAGGCGACCTCCGTTTCGTGGAGAAACCTCGTGGGTCAGGCTGGGTTTCAGGTATGAAGATTCGATTCTTTCTTGGGGTTTAGATCTATTGGCAGTGGCAGCTGTGGTTGCCAGACATGGCTTTGTCCCAATTGCCTCTTTCTTGTCATCAGCCGTCCGTGCATCTGGATGTAGTATGGCTCGGCTGGCTGTGCTGCTGTGTCCCAGATCTGCACAATGCTCAGTCCCCCTCTCAATCCACGGTCTTGTGACTACCTGCAATCTGACTGTGTCAGGACTTCTGGATGAATGACAAGGCTTCGTAAGGGTCCTTTAGAAGAGAACTTCCCGCTCTCAAGGTCAGGGCTCAACCCGCTTTGTCCAGGATCCCCGGCTGCGATTACACGATTCCGGCGCTTGATGCCACCGCCGCAGGTGCAAGTGCAAGCACTCCACTCCTCCCACCTGAGGCAGGATGGCTCAGCAGCTTTCGTTTCGGACCGTGCTTTTCATTTTGCAGGCTTCGTTTTGGCGTTTTGGCGTAGTAGAAGCTCATGCCGGAGAATTTATAAGGAAGTAGGATAGGAGAGGCAAGGAGGCGCCGCGAGCATTCATCCCCCACTCGCCACCACCTCACAGGACAGCGCGCGCGCCGCCTCCACCCAGCCCTGAAGATAGGATCCACCTGTCTTTCGGGAGTCTGGGGGTCGGGCGTGCCCCACACGCAGTCGATGCCTTCGCACTGCCTGTCCTCGCAGGCCTTGACCTGCAAAGCGCCCAAATGGCTTCAACTCTTCCGGGGCGGTGCAAGGGTGACGTGAGGTTGCACCTAGCGATGTGTAGGAAGTCAGTTCTGGCTTCAGGCTCAACCTGGGTTTCGGACCCTTGCAGACTTGGCTTTCTTAGACTCCTACATTGCCCCTTGTCAAACTGACTTTGGCTGCCAAGCTTCACGGGACTCTTGGTTTCTAGATGAGGGTGTCCCCAGGTTCGAATCGGAAGCCCGATGAGTCAGATGTGTCTGCCGCGGCGAAGCTCATGGCTTACGGCGTAGAGGATTGAGCCTCTGAGCCTCTCGGCCGGCCAGCCCGCCTCCTCCAGGGCCGTATTGCAGCCGAGCGTGTCTCCGATCTCCAGGATCTGACATGAGACGCGGCTCGGAACCCTCTCGCTGTTTATTTCCTGAATCTGTACCTTACCTGAAAAAAACCGCTACGAAGGGCATCGGCCGTTGGCACCTTCCTGTTGCGCTGGGTCGCCCCGATGCCGCACTCCTTGGTGAAAGCTCGTCGAAGCACTTAGTCTGCAAGACAAGGGCCTCTTGTCCCAACAAGATGGAGGACCCCGGAATCGAACATCCCCCCGCTTAGTCAAGGGAGGTGCTTGCGAATCTCCATCGGCTGTGCATGGGTTCCCTGCAGACATACATCCCGCAAACTCCTCTACTGCACGCTCCATGCATAAGCACCAAGCCTTTGGGGAAGGATGTGCGGTGGCGGTGGCGATTTGGCGGCGTTGGCGGCGTGGGTGGTGTTGCTGGTGGTGCTGGTGGTGTTGGTGGTGGCTGTGGCGCTGGCGGTGGCGGTGGGTTCGTGGTGGTTCGCGGTGGTTCGTGGTGGTTCGTGGTGGTTCGTGGTGGTTCGTGGTGGTTCGTGGTGGTTCCTAGCTGGTGGTGTCGGTTCGTGCCGTTCCTTTTTCTGCGTAGGGTGATCTGCTTCCCCGATCCTCTTGCAAAGTGCTGAGTTGTCTGCAGATGTGCACGGCGACCATTCCGTCCACAGTGACCTCAGAAGCGAATTGGCGCCTTGTGGGATGCCCTCGGCTTATGGGACCAGCCTGTACTTTGGAACTTGATCAAGGCCTGGGGCTTGGGGGCGTCACAGCGGGCCCTTCAAAAGTCGAGCTTGTGCAGATTTGTGCTGAAACTGATGTAATGCTGGGGAACGCTATGCCCATACCCGATCTCCAGTCTTCGCCTTCGAAGTGCCCAGGCCTAATCGCACAACCCCCCTGCGCATGAGAGGACACCCAAGAGACCCTTCATTCCGGCCCTTCAGCTGTCTTTGCGAGTCTCCGTTCAGACAAGACAGCCAATCAGCCAATCAAACCTTATCCCGCGTTTCCTTGAGGATCCCACAGCCGACAGCTCCCATGGTTGCATTCGCGATGCCCTCGGCCCAAGCTGCATTTTCGGGCTTTTGGATGGTGCAAATTTTGTTTGAGGTGTTGGGAGGGAAGACTTCGGGGCTTTGGCTGCGGGAGCGGGGTTTCATGTCACTTTCATGAATCATGTGTTGGCTTCTCGGCAACACTACAGACGCTGTTGGCTGCGACCTTGCACTGAGTCAAACAAAGCTCGAATTCCCAGCAGATCGTCTGGGCCCAAGGATGCAATGTGGACTCGCTGGATCCAAGTCTCCGGCCGCATCCCTCCGTCTCGCTGAGGATGGCTCCTTCAGCTCCGTTGCTTCGGATTCCAGATATGCTGTCCCGTTTTGGGCGAAAACTGAAGAGCAGTGGGGAAGATCCCGTAGCCAAACAAGAGAATCACTCCAAACAATGCCGCTCTCCCCGCTCGCGCACGTGAGGCTCCTTTACATCATTGAGGACAGAACCTTCCTCCAACCCTGACATCCCCCGCTGAAGGCCTACACGGCTTGCTTGGCCGCCGAGGACGCAGAGGCCTTCACCGAGAATGCTCCTGAGCCGGGGTAGACTGGAAAGGGCTGAAAGCGGCCAAAGAGAGAGAGACAGAGAGAGAGAGAGAGAGAGAGAGTGCAACTCTGCAGATCACAAGCACCTCGATTGTTTTCGCCTCGACTTCTTTTGAGCATCACGGGAGATGCAGGCAGGGAAACATCAGCAGCAAGGGGTTGTAAGATCTCTTCTAAGGAGCTTGGTATTGCAGCAGTTGCCAGCCAGTGCATCGGAACAGGGTGAGCTCTGTTCTGCAACAGCTGGTCAACGGAGCCAGCACCAGCACGGAAAGCAGTTGTCGGAGCGCCTGTAGTCCTATGAATTCCTCGAGGAGTCGTTCTGCCGTCGAGAACTGTTATTAAATTAGACTCCTCATTCAACGTGTCGTTCGTCACACTTCACTGCAAACTCTCAGTGATTCAAAAGCCCGATGATGTGGTTCATCCCATTGCAGCAATGGACCACTACTGCAAGTGGGTCAACGTCAACCCATTTGCAGTACTGGACCATTACTGGCGATGACATCATCAGGCTTTGGAGCCACAGAGTTGCGTATGCTGATCGGGTTGACCTTGATCGTTAGAAACAGCGTAGTCATCGTCACACCGCCAGAGTTTGTTCAATCGTCTTCGATTTGTTGGTTTCGAGGCGGTCGCTCTGCTCCAAGTGGAGGTCAGCCAAGGATGCGACGTTCGCCGGAGCTTCTGCATTGACGGCAGTGCAAAAGCAGAAGTTAAGGGCACTTCGCAGCATGACTACCAAGTGCATGACTCGACGGTGCTTACGAGTTTTGGTCTTAAGTTCCGCGACTGTTTGGTCGTAAACATCGCTGGATCATGTCGGAGGGCCGAATCTGCCCCGTGAACGAAAGTGCTTGAGCCGACGCCCAGCCTCATCGAAACTTGGAGGTGTCGCTTCTGAACGAAACCACCTTAGACCCTCTCCGCATTTGGGCCAGCCAAGATGAAATATCGGCCCCCAGTGCTTCAAAGTCGAACCCAACTTGAAAAACTTGAGGCCCAAGATAGGACACGCCGAACCGACCTGCACCTTTGCGGCATCTTGTGCCCCTGTCTCCTGCTCCGATGCTTCTGACCGCCGCAGGTGGCAGAGCAATCTGTCCACTCGGACCTTGCTTCTGCGGTTTCAAGCTGAGGGCTGGGGCTCTCCTTGATGCCTTTTCGTACGGTTTTGTCAAGCTTTGGGGGCAAGGCTTCGATGGAAGCTTGTCGGACTTTGCAAAGACTCCCTGAAACATCAGTGCCGCGATAGGAAAGAGTGAGGCGCGATTCAGGCATCAAGCAAGCAGGACTCTGTCGCGAGACCGAGTCCGAAACTCCCTAGCCTGCTCTCCACGGGACCTCGGGGTCCCCACCACATGCTCATCTCACAGCTGGGCTTGGGCAAGTCCCAGGGCGGCTCAGGGCAGCCAGCCTCGGCTGAAGTTGCGTGAGGAGGGCCTCTTGGTGCTGCTCTTAGCGACACTTTAGTCTCCCTCTTCCCTCTTACACGAAAAGCCGGCGCCTACATGATCTATGCAGGAGTCTGGACTCTGGACGCTCTTCATCTAAACGCTGCGGTATGTCGGAACTCGTTCGAGGAAGCTGCTGTCTGATTGAGGTCGACATCGCAGACCTTGCCGCCGTTCCTGGGCATCGATCAATAAAGGATTCGAAGCACGACGGATGAAGGACACGCCTAAGAACTGTACTCATCCTTCTTGGATTCTTCTCTGCTTGCAGCATTAGCTCCTGTAGTCCGGTACTTTGGACTCTGACTTCCAAGGTAGACGATGCAACTCCCGAAACTCGAACTTCGCCCAGGCTCATTTCTGTCTGCAGCACATCGCGGAAGCGGAATTTTTGGTACGGCGACATATGGCTGCACCTGAAAAACATGAGGAAGGAATGGCTTCGGCTACATATCTTCTTGTCAAAGCTCCTTGAGGCCTTACGGCTAAAGCCCCAAGGCAAAGACAGCTTTCACTTTCAGGAATTGCTTGGCTCCGGATAGACTTTGGGGCGGCATGCCATGGGCCATAAATACGAAAGCAGGAACACGTGCCCAATCACAAACTTAGGTGCTTTCGAAGATCTGAAACCGCTTGCTCCTAGAGTCCCGAAACCTCCCTCACAGCCGAATGGCCCAAGCCTTGGCGCGCAAGCCCTCTAAACTGCCCTGGCTCATGGATTGTTGTTACGACAAGACATGATTAAGCGTCTTTTTGCCCTTTCCGAGGGTCCCAGCCCTTCCCAGGAGCTCCAGTCCGAGAGCACGCAAGGCACGGGGCTGTCGCAAGAGTCCTGGCAGGCTGCTAGCGGCTACTGCGGGCTTCCACTCAGACGCTTGCTTTCCTGGGTCATGCGGACTTCGAGTGGCCGGCAATACACCTCAACCAAGAAAACACGTCAAACCCATCAAAACGCCGGACCCTGTCTTCCCTAAAGCCGGCGGAAACTGCTGAAATACAAAGCGGGAGTTGACATCCCCCTCAAAAACATCAGAGAACAGCAGCCCTTTGGTGTCCTGATTGCACGGCTGCCTGAGGGACACGGGACTTCAGGAGGTGCGGGACGCATGCTTCGATGTCGGAATTTCAGTCAACCATTGCCGGCTGAAGGCGCTTTGGGGCTCAAGGCCACGAGTTCCTTTCCTGGCTCTGAAGATGCAAAGGGCTAGCTCTCTGATGGGGAAGATGATGATAGAGTTGACGACGAGGGTGAGGATTCTGATGAGGGTCGTGACGACGATGATGACGAATATGGAGGAGATGGAGACGATGATGATGATGATGATGGTGCACTTGAAGAACACGTGGGGACAATGTGCTGCGTGGCAGGAGACGACTCAACGCAACATCGCGCGACCACGACGTCAAGTGATGAGCAGCGGCTGGAGGCGGTATATCAACAACCCACGAAGCTTCAAGTCTTGCCTCAAGACACTATGACTCTCTATAGCCGACTCAATAACCCGCTGCTCCCCCATCTGAATCTGAGACGTCTGCGTCTGACGTACAACGAGGCCATGGTCGTCGAGATATTCCTTGCTGGCAACAGTGCACAAGGTTTTCTACAGATGTCTGAGTTCAGGTTTAAGGCTCCGAGTATGCGTGTGAAAGCTGCAGGCTTCAGGATTGGAGGCTCCAGCGTGCTCGGCAGCCTGCACCTCTGTCAGAACCCATCCCGCTGAACAACCATCCAGACTTGTGCGAACCCCCACTCCAAAACCTTGAACATGTACCTGAGACCCCGGCTGGGGCACAAGGACGCCCTCCAAACATCGCCTCTTGGACGACACGCCGCATCCTTGCCTGGTGCAAATGAGGCAGTCGGGCAGGCTCTTCCTGTGGAAGTATTGGGGCTATCAAGATGAAACTTCGAATCTCTGCATGGATTGAGGGTGAGTGCTGTTGTTGTCTTAACGACTCAGAACAACCGCGGCCAGATACTGCGAAACACCACACCTTTCCTCTGCACTCAATGGCCCTCTGCCAGCCTGCACCGAAGGACTCCTTTAAAGGCACCCTGAAGCCCAGTCCATGGCGCTTGAAGGCTATGCGCCTGCCACCCGGTTCCGCAGCTCTTGCTGCAGCAGGTCCACCTGGCAGAAGCTTGGAATCAATTGAAAGAGCTGATGCTGAGGCGACACAAATCAAACCCCCGCTGGCTTCGATGGCCTTGGTTCATGCTTTGCCCCAGTGGCAGTGAAGCATCAGCGAACAACAAGTTCGAGCCAGGGGAAAGTTCTGAATATTCGGAACTGATCTCTTTACTAGAAAGTTCGGACGTTGGCTTTCTCCAGCATCAGCATGGCGTAAGTTCGGTTGTTCAACACTCGCCCGTTGCTGCAGCAACCGCTGCTCCATGGACGCCTACTAGAGTCGTATCTCAGCGATTTGGCATCAAAGAATTGGTTGTACTCTTCCACCCGGCTTGGGCTTGGCCCAAGTCTTCTGTGGCCCAAAAGATACATGAACTTCTCGACCCTGTGGTGGCCACGCTTGGTTGACTGGCGGTGTAGCTTGTGTGCTTGCTTGTCTCCGTGTGGCTGTTTATCTGTATGCAACAGAATGTGTGACGGAACCCTGTGCCCCTACTCGGTCAAAGGCCATAACATGATGTAGTGACACGATGAGGGCGATGGTCTGTGTGTGTGTGAAAAAGCTGTATGTATACGCATATAAAACAACCAAGTCTATGCATTCTTAATTATGCAGGACTTCTGGAAGGCTCCTTGGTAATCTTGAGACATTTCTTTGGGCTGGCCGAAACATAGTTGGACATCCGTTCGTCTTCATACGCTGTTAGACGCTACGTAGACGCTGCTTGCTGCCACACATGGCATCAGCGCTAGTCGTGTGTGTATGTGATGGTGTTGGTCGTGCAAGGAACTCTCTTGGCGCCAAGACCCCGACAATGCCACTCTTGAGACTTCACGTACATGGGGCTGGTGAGAGCCGTCTCTCACAGAGCTCTAGAAACAGTTTCATATAAGTTAAGGATCGACGAAGCATGTAGGACCTGCTCAAACCTTTCTCTGATTGAGCAGGCTCGAAGATAAACTTTAAGCAACCGCCACCAAAGCCCCTTGAAACATCTCAGCATGCAGGAGAGATGTTTAGGAGGACAGCAGGACAGAATTCCGCCGGCCGCGCTCTGCCCATTCGGAGAGTTCGCAGTCGATGGCATGGGAGGCTTGGCAGGGCCGGGTTTCGTTCCAAGCACCTGACAGGATCTTCCGCAGAGGCTTCCGAGAGGCTTCGGGGAGCTTCTTTAGGGCATTGGGAATCCGGTGCTTTGCGCTGCAAAACAGAAGCAGAAGCCCAACGTGAACAGCACGCTTTTTTGGCTGTCGATTCTTCAGATTCAATCTCCTGGACAGGGTAAACGGGAAGACAACGAAAGCACCGCTCCCTGAAGCCTTCAAAAGGGCCGGGCCTATGCAAGGAGATCCCAGCCCCGTGGCGTCCACCAGAATCCTTGGGCGTTTTTCTGAGATTTCGAGGAGGTAGGGACCTGCGCTGTCTGCGCAGTGTTGGCTACGAGGACAACGCAGCGCTTCGAGTGAGCCCTGCTGGAATCCTTCGACTGTTTCCCTGCAAGGACCCGAATGAGCGCATGCATCCAACTGCAATCTGAACCTCTTCAGTCTTCCCTGTCGAAGGAACCCGCCGAAGTTAGTCACCCGAACTGGGCAGGGTGGACGAATTAAGGCTGATTAAGGATTAGCCTGGGAGCTAGGAAGTCCCGCCCCTGAATGTGTAAGGCTCAAGGAATCGGCCGAGAAACTGCCTCGACCGATATCTCTGAGAGAGTTGGCAGACCGAGCACCTGGGCACTAAAGTCTCCAGTATGCAGATCTCTTGCATCTGCCTTCTAGGTCCTACGTTTCGACAAACACGAGTGGGCTGCGGACTCTGAGGACTCTTGGCTTGGGTTTGGGGCCCGTGCGGCATCACCCAAAGCTCGAAAGTTGATACGGCCCTTCTACCCCACGGCGCTTCCCAAACTCGTGCCGACGGGGCGCTCATCGAGGTGCTTACAGGAGCTCCACTCTTCCCAAGCGCCCCAGACGCAGTCCTGCGAATCGCGTCAGTTGACGTCTTGAGGAGCAGTTGAGATTGCCCGGTTGCTTGGACGTCAGGGCGAATTTGCGGCGGCGACGAGGGATCAGGCTTCAACCACGCATCTCCAAAAGATTGGGCCCTGCAGCGGCTCTTCACGCAACATGATACGGACATGCGCCACACAAGGAATGCTAATGGGTCTACAGGTTCGCAATCTGAAGTTTTGGGAACGAGGCTCGCATATGCTTCGACGTCGTAAACACCTCGCTTGAAGCCCTCCCAACGCGCCCGATCGCGCTCGATGCAGGAAGGCGGGTAGCACAGAGGGTCGTCCAGGCGCACCTCGAGCTCGGCACGGAAACTCCCGCCGAAAGGCTCCATTGCTGAAATTCCAAGCCTGACTTCTTCAACAAACAAGGGAACCCTGAATTCTCCGAATTGCCCTGCATCTGATGGATGCGAGGACATGTAGCCCTCAGTCTTTAGGTTTTCGGAAGCCAGCTGCCAAGGAAATTCAGTTTGTTGCGACAGGCTGTGAGGTTGCAGAAAAGCCAGGGTCAAAACTCAATCGTTCCTCTCAGCTAAGACTTCCCAAAGCAACCAAGCCAATACTTCAAACATGGAAGTCACTCCACGAAGCATACGCAGTGGCTCGTTCCGAAGCTCAAGAACCAAAAACCCTGCAAAATCACTCGAGACGCCGCATTCAGCTGGAAGCCGGCAACTGCACTTCTGGGTCCACGGCCACGGTCTCCTTGGTGTGTCCCGAGCAAGGATTCCCACACTCGTTGTTGTGGCCAGGGTACCTGGCGACCAATTGCTCCATGGCGTCGCAAACAGCGGGAGCTGGGCCCTATGAAGCTGCTCCAACCCGGCGGCCTCTTGGCTACGACATCCGAATCCTCCCCTTGCCTCGTGCGCTCACAAAGTCCAGAGCAGCCGCCGACACTCACCCACTCGGTCCACGGGTGGAACCTCCGATCGGACGGCGCGACTGCACAGACTTCTGGGTCTTGAAGGTTGGGAACCCAAACCCGGCAGATGATCGACAATGACAGCACTGATATGTCCCTGCCCTACGGTTGGTTTAGAGGTTAGATTTCAAAAGGGTGCAGCTACGGTATAAACTCTGAAACCCCCGCCAACCGGAGCGGATGCGAACGTCTGAATCTCTGAAGCCGAACTTCAAGCTTCTCTGAGTCGCTGACACACAGTCGATCGGATAGCATTCGTGGCACTCGGGGAGGTTCGGGCCTTCGCTTACTGCACGGGGCTCAGGAGGGGAAGTCAGCCGTCGCTTTTTAGCAACGACATTGGATGCGAACAGGCGCCAAAGAGAACAGAATGCAATTCATGTTGGACTGCTGCCAGGCACAGATATAAGTCGCCCGTGGAACCCAGCCATCAGTTTTCTAGAAGCCCAGAACTCGCGCAGTTCCAGGACAGACGGCCGGCATGAGGCTCGCACATTTTCGCCACGTTCGCTCCATCCCGTGGCAAGATCTCGGCTCAAGAGCAGCTCTGGATGTTGGAATGCTAGCATTTAATCACCAGGAATGCTGACAAGTACAGTGACAGTCCTGCAGGCTTCACATGCTCTGCCAAAACAACAAACCTTGTACCGTGTACCGTGATCATGGCAATAACTGCGATGATGAAGAACGAGCACGACTCATTTCTCCATGACGGCGGTCTAAGGACTTCAGTGCTCGACGACTCTACTGATGGCATCGAGACCGGGAGAATCTGAAACAGGCTCCATCGCACAGACCACGATCCCTACCCTGAGCCCCATGAAACCATGAAACTGGCGACGTATTAAGACCTTGTGGCCTCCGCTTCAAGTCTTTTGCACACCGGCTATCCTCATGGAGTGTAGAAAGTTCTGCCATGACAAAATTTCTCTCGGGAACACAAGATCATGCTCGGGCAGGGCGTCAACCGAGGTCCGTGCTGCACGAGGGGATACGTCACTGAATTTGGCCTCAGCTCCAATCTCCGCGCTGGGGCGAGATCTGTTATGTTTTCAGCAATACTTTCAGCAACAAGGATATATTCCATGCTCTGCCAACCCCCTGCCACCCTAATCCGTGGCCCTACCCCACATGAAAACCGCTCCCAATTTCGAAGATGATGCAATGAGAGAAGGAAGGGAGTGGCCAGTGGCACTCGACTCGTCGACAGCCCGGGCCCGGGCTTCATATCACAGCACTCGCTCGTGTCGCACACCTGACAGCAGCCAGCAGCCAGGCGCGTCGGGGCCCCAAAGTCTGCCAGCCATGCCCGGCCGCCCACCCAGTTCTCAGCGCCTCTGTGACGCAGGACATGCCAAGCGCTCCTGGCTTGATGGTGTAGCCTGGAGGCTGGAGCTCAGGGAAGTCGAAGCACAGGGCCGCTTAACCGGGCCCAGCTCTGGTGTCTTTGGAGTGCCCAACTGGACAGATTCAACTGCGATACAAATTTGGAGATTCTTTTTACTCTCTGACTCTCATGGCCTACAACATGGTGCCGCCAACTACAAACAGGACATCGAAAGAAGCAAGCCAACTTAGAAACTGCAGCAGCAAGACACGGACGATGAGGAACTGTTGCGTATAAAGAAGAACTGGCTGGAGGCTGTAGGATTTGAAGTGGCTTCGGAGGGGCCCGGGCTGAACCCGAAAGCCGCACCTTGAACAACCCGATCGCTATCTAAACCCTCGGATTGCCGAAGTTCGCTCCCAAGGCACCTTCCCAGCGAAGTTCTGAAACCTTGAATAAGAACTCCGACTTCTGAGGAAGCGAGATACGACCCATTATCCTGCACCCCTTCCCCTGCCACCGAAACTTCTTGCCTTCAGGGCAAACATCGTCGTAGCACTTCGCCGACGGAATCGCCATCGAGTTGCAGAACCTGTCAGGAGACGCAGCTGACTCGCAGTGAGACTTCATCTCAATCCATCCAAGGCCCATGCGAGCCGGAGAAGTAGAAGAGGTGCCCGAAGCCTCTTACCTGTGAGACGGCTGAGGTCTCAAGACTGCTGGGCAGGCCGGACTAGGGGACTCGGGCCGTCTGAATGAATCCTGCTAGTGGCCGAAAGCTTGCGGCTTGCGGGAGCCCCAATCCTGGACTTGAACCTACAAGTAGTGTCCGAACTGCAGAATGCGCGGACACAGGAAGGACGAGCTGCATATTGGGAAGCCTATGCCGCATCACACGCTCCCGTAACGAAACCAATGAAAGCTCACGTTCCAACTCCCATTGCTTCTTTTCGAACCGATTCTGCCAAGTCTGATGCAATAAGAAGTCATCTTGTAAGAGGTACCGAACTTTTCAACAACCGTCACAGTTTTGCCGGCACTTGGCAGCCCGACTCCAGGCGCTGAAAGGGTCACCCGGATCTCCGAGGCCTCTCCCAAACAGCTCCGGCAAGTGGCATTGTCAGAGGACCCTACACCCGCCCTACTCCAGGCTCAAGGTGCTTGTGGCTGAGGAACCCAGCATGCAAGCTCTGGAGTTTCGACGCTTGGGGTGCTTCGGATATTGAAGGTCGGGGCCCCGGGGCTTTGGTCAAGACGAACATAAACCTCGAAGTCATGGAAGCCATGGGCTGTGCCGCGCCCTCCAGCCGCTAGCCTGGGTGTAGTAGAAAGTGAGTTTGCACTCCTCACTCCCGAGGGGCCCAGTGCCTCGGCCGAACTTATCAGCATGCAATGGTCACGTCATCTTCGACAGTCACATCGACACAGCATGTAGGCGTCGTCATGAGTATTGTAGCGGCAACGCCGCAAGCACCCACACCAGACGTGTTGACTATCCTACACATCCCAATAACAACCTTACATTGAACTGTGGCATCAGGTGTCACCGTCGTCCACGACACAACCTGCGTCGTAGACTGAACCAAGGTTCCTGCTGCGGTGGGCCAGTGTGTTTTTGAGCTCAGGATGTGCTGAAACCTCTGTACCAGGATGTGGTACAAATCTAATCCCGACAAGATTTGGCTTAGAAAGCTTTTCAAGAGCTTGAAGGCACCTCGCTCCCGCTGATCGTGCTCTGCCTCTCCTTTTTCGTCCACGTTCGCAACTCCTCCCGAAATCGGTTGCTCGGCCCTGTCGCAGGCGTAGCGCCATTGCTTCGCAAATGCAGAGCTTCGCAGACTTCAGGCATCGAACATGAACACTCCACTCACACAGTCCCTCACCCGGCTAGCTGCACATTCAAGGCCAAGATATCATCCACGACATGTCTCTATCCGTGCAGCGACTGCTTGCGATTACAACTCACAGCGCAGAATACAGAGGGGACTAGTAATAGACGGCAGGTCGAGCAGCCTTCGAAAATGAAGCCTTGAGACTCGCGTGCAAAGACGGTGCATACTTGAGAGCGTCTGGAACTCATGCCATTAGTCTGGAAGCTCCAAACGCAGCCCACTCATGTTCCGGGCATGTTGAAACCCGCAAATGGCCCGGTGTGCCAGGGATCAGATTCACATAATCGTCATGCGTTGTGTTCCGTCGTTAAGAAGTAGTCTCGCTATGCTTTATGCTGCAATTGTACCATCATGGTCTTCTTCGCAGGGTTTGTCTTATCCGTATCCTCTTGCTCCTCTCCCTCGTCCTCCTGCTGTTTCTCTTCACAAGCAATCCAACAATCTACCCCCAAACCGAGAGCAATGCATCCGGTACGTCTCGAATCGGATTTGCAAACTAGCCGATCGATATCTCATCCGTCGGTTGAAGTTGTTTTATCTGATGCGGCAAATTTGCTCCAGAACGCAAATCTCGGTAGGTTCTGCTGACTTCGCCACTCATGGGATTGAAGGCACATCGGGTCAATCCGGGGTGCGACGACCGAGGGTCGCGAGGGCAAGCTTTTGGAGCTCACCCTAAATCCTAAGCCCCTGGACTTCCCCAAGCCCTTTGAAGCCCAAGACCCCACACTGCATTCTTCGAGTGATCACATGGCCTGAAGGAGCTGCTGCTTGAGCTGCTGTTGGGCAGGGAGAGTCCAGTGAGTCCACGTGCTTGCGAGCTATAGTTCATCTCTGACCATGACCCGCGCTTCGCGCAGAAGCAGGCTAAACGCGACTAAACTGTAGCAGAGGGTGCTCCACGCCTTTGATCCGGATATGGGCTTTGAAGCTGCAATGCAACAACTGGGGATCCTGTTCCGCTAGTTTCGCACCTTGAGCACACCTTCCTGCTCTGAATTGGACGATGCATTCGCATCAGTTCCACCAAAGTTTGTCCGAGTCACCTCATTGTATTGATCGGGCTCGCCAACTTTAGACGTGTGGAGATTGGAGTGCTTGCGCAAAGACCCTGAAAGGAGACGCTCTATCTCTGACATCCTTCGGCAGACTCTTACAACTCACGTAGTAGTAAGACGTCCAAGCCCCAAGCGCTGTTTACAGTGTCGAAGCCCCTTTTTGGCTGATTTGAGGCCGGTCCCTTGCGAGCCTCCTGCTTCCTCAACCCTAGGACCACACAAACGGCAGCCCTGCCCGGGAACAGCTTGGGGTGTCCAAAGTACGGAGCACGTGGCCGCTTGCACCTACTGCGGCTGAGAAGGCCTTTGAAGCTCAATTTGTGAATCCCAATCATGACCGTCCAAACCCATACTCTCGGATGAATGCAGGCATGCAACAGGCAATGTAGCTGACCTTGTGACGGACGGCGGCTGCCGGGTTCAGAGCGTAGCGGCGTAGCTTCAGCTTGAGGTGTTGGGAGGGATGCATGTCGCACGGCCTCTGCAGCCGCACCCCGTTTACCGGTATGGGGAAAAAAGACAAGAAGAGTATTGGACTTCCATTCAGAATGCCCTGCACTCGGATCGTTCCGTGCCTCCAACAATCTTGGGCACAGTCGCTCCCTAAAACAGGTTTAGCTGCTGCCGCTGCTGCCAGGAGTCTGGGCTGAGGCTTGCCGAGAGCACCAACTCGAAGCCAGCTGCACACTCGTCGTCCGCGCAGCGGAGGCAGTGCCACTCCTGCCGACCGGCCGCCAGGCCGGCAGGAGAACAGCTCCAAGTCTCCCCCCTGCCACCACCCCCCGGCCGCCTGCCTGGTCTCCGAAGTAGGTGTAAGAGTACGCCTGACGAGCCCAGCACCAGGGCACCCCATCATCCCAAAGGGATGAAGGCGCCCACATACTGATCCTGCGAAGCTTGGGTGACTTCGGGACGTGCTTTCGAGGCTTCGTTTCAAGGCCTCATGGACACAGATTTCCGACGGGAGGGAGGGGGTTGGGGGAGCGCTTCGGACCTTGATACGGGGTGGGGCTTAGGTCTGTCGGGTGGCACTTGGCACCGGTTCAACACCTGAGAAGCCGTACATCTCTACTTTACGATGTTGGCTGCTTCGTTTCTGTGGCTCTTCCCATGATACTCCTCTTGCTGCATGCGCATCTTTCTCAGCAGTTCTCCTGAGTTCGTCCTACTCGTGGGTTGCCACGTGGCTCTCACACTAAGACCTCACACCATCAGCATGTACATGTCCTGATCCACCGACCCACTGCCGGCAACGCGCCGGCTGCCTTCACCGGGATTTGAAGATGCTACATACTCGAGCCTCGCGCCGGTCCTGTAGAAGCAGAAGCCTAAACATCCGAGGCCAATGAGCAACATGACCACCTTGGCAGCGAAAGCTTAGGAGCCGTTGGCTGAAAGTTCGACCTCACGCGGTGGGAAACTGTTACACACCCAAAGAGCAACGGACTCGTCAAGACCAGACCCTATTCCTTCACCGCCAACCCCACCCCAGTCAACTCCACGTCAGCCCATTTTCGAGTGAGTTGGAGCATGTCCGTTCCGAGCGACGACTCGGGTTGATTTCGGCTGGAGGACTTGAGGGAAGGGGCTTGAGGTTTGCGAGCTGGGAATGCAAGGCTTAAGAATCTAGGGTTCCCACGCGATTAGAAGGGAAGTCTCAATGTGCTCGCGCCTTGGGGTTGGCAGGGATCCTATGAACCTGCGCAGATGGCAAACGACCCCATGGCCTTGAGCACTTGCTCGCACTTTGTGACCTTCTTGTTGCGCACAAACCAGACGCCGAAGATGAGGCCTGAGGGTTTGGACGGTTCAGTGTGACATGTTTCCTTTCATGGCGCTGCTTAGCCCCAGAGCTTACGTTGCAGAAGACACTGAAGAAGCAGATGCATGCAGCACGTGAACCGTAAGCAAGCCCTCATAGCGCCTGAGAGATAGCCTCCGAAGTGAGCCGCATGCCCAGTTACGTCGTCTGGTTTTGCCAGCATGCCAGCCCCCACATCCAAGACGATCCTCTGCAAGGTACCAGTAGTTTTGGGATTGCCGGATGTGGTTGCTTTCTTGGGTCTATTTGGGCTTGGGTTAGGGGACACTCTCACGTGTTCGCCACCTCACACCGGCAAGATACGCCGAGGCGTGCCTTCCAGAATCCTAGACCGGAGGGAGCAGGGGCCTAATGACAATGGATCGGAAGACCGTCCAGGACAAAACCGGAAATTGCGAGCTATTCGTCTTGTTGTAGGATTGCCTTGTCGAACGGATTGGGAGTATAGCCATGTTACCATAAAAAGGAGCCTGGACTACCAAAGTCTTTGGGCCCTTGATCAAGCAAGAAAATGTGCAGGGTTGGACATTGTGGCAGCCCAGGCACATGACAATCAGCAGCAACACACGAGGGAAGCGCCACCTCGATAAGGCCCACTTCCCCACCATTACACGTGCGAGCCCCGCCTACGTCAAAGCTGGGGAAATTCAAACCCGCGCTCGGTTGAGTCTTTGCGGATGGTTGTGCGCATTCGAGGCTTGGCTCAAAACGTATGAGATTTTTCAGGGTGGGCTTCCAGACGACTGATTACTAAAATTCGGAGATTGCGCCGTCGACTCCTCGGCTTCCGTCACAACACAAATCTCGTCTGAAGAAGAAGCACGCTTCCAAAGCCCGGCAAACCTGCACAGACCACGCCCTTTGGACACTTCGAAGGCTACCTGTAACACCCTTGTTTCTGCCCCAGGGGCTTGTGCTGGTTCCAATTCATCACTACGTCTGCCATGTGCATGGCCTTGGCTCGGCAGCATTCATTCCCTTCGGTCTTTGGTTTCGGTGTGGGGTTGCTGTCGGCTTAACATTAACAAATTGGGCGAGTCCAATTGACGCTTGGTGCAAAGCATTTGCACACGTTCAGCTTACAGTGCTTCAAGATTGCACGCGAGGATTCAGGCCTTTTCGGGATAGCAGGAGTGCTGTTCTATCAGAGCGGGGTAGAGCAGGGCAGGGCAGCAAGGCAATGTAGGGCAGAGCATGACAAGGCAGATCCTGAAGCGTAAACCCGTATTCCCCAACTCCAAACCTTCGACCTTGAAACGTTTAACTTAACCGTTTAACCCTCAACACTCAACCCGAAAATCGAAACCTTATGCCTGTCTGCTTGAATCGAACCCTATACTCTGAGTGTCTGTAAGCATGTATGCAGAGACGTTGAGTGCTAGCTCGCCGGAGGGCACAAGGAATTTAAAGACGGTTGCCATTAGGAAGAATGGGCCTAGGCAATAATCGTGCGGGCCAGGTTTTGTGTCGGGGGGCGAGCAGGGGGGACCACTACATGTGTAAGACGCAGCCCAAAAGCGTGCCGGTGAATCGAAGTAATCGCCACGTTTTCGTTTCGTTCTCTGGCTTGGCTCTTTTTGTTGGCCAGTCACCTTC